AAAACCCAACTCTCATGCCATTAGAAAGAGGATCATGAAAAACCTATAAAAAAATGGTTCATGAAATTTTAGTTCACTCATAAAGCTAAAGTCCGCCTGCTCTAGCAAAAAATGCCCACTGTGATACATAAATGCGACATCGGTGTCTCAGAAAAACAACAAATTGAAAATAGGTTAGAAGGAGTATACGCAACTACAAATTACTTTTTTTTAATGTTTACGTCACTAATGACCGTTAATTGCTGCTTCATGTGCTAGTACCGGCCAATTTCTTGTCTTGAGACATCTATTATGAAGTAATAGGTAGATGACAGCTCTCTGAAAGTATAGAAATACTACAACGAACATGGATACTCATAATAATAATATTAACATCATATGCCGTCAACCAAAATAGAACGATTTCTTTTTCATGGCTGAGTCTATTTTGGTATTCTTCTAAGTATATTATACAAAAAAAAATTTGTTTCTTTTTTTTTTTTGTTCTCTCATGAAAAATATCTGTCCTTTCTTCATCATTATTTCCTAGACTCTCTCTATTCATAGTTCTGTAATACACAGCAAATAATACACAACAAATATGAATAAAAGAAGTGTCGATATAAACGAGAAAAAACTAGAAGAAGCTGGGATTGTTAAACACGACAAAAATGATCAGCTATCAACACGAGTTAGTGGACCGCTGGCCGAAGGTGTAATAAATACAACGACATTAACAAATTTAACGTCACCAAAAAACGACGCAGATATTCAAGTTGGTTTCGATAGCAATGTTTTAAATCGTAAAGCATAACATTTGTTATGTTTTGAGATAGAATATGTGTATATAAATAGATAGATTTTTCTTTTTGTTACTGTAAATCCAGCGTTTTAAAATAAATATCGTCATTCTACAAAATATTTTGGAGAGATTTCTTACTTTACATCGAACTATGTTGAGTGAAGATATTATATTTTCTACTTTTTAGAAATAGATACTTCAGATGCCCACCGTAGTTGTCACAAAGCTGTTGATATTTCTGATATATTACATTTAAATATACCGCCGCTAGAAATAGTCACCTTTTGCTAAATAGGTTCAGTCCAAGATGTTTCTAGAGTACAGAAGATTTACAACAGTTACACGAAAAAGCGTGTTATATTCATCACCTTGTATAGGTAGTCGAGTTCTGAAGCATTGCAAACCAAAAAATTGTTCATCACAGAGTATGCTCGAAACTTCCTGAAAGACAAAAGTATAGATGTTGAAGATTTAAAAAAATTTCACTAGATTTTTTTAAAGGACGGGTATCGGTTTTTGCTGGAATGATTTTGAGTGAGAATGATCTCAAATGCGTCCGACTTTACTTCCAGATACTTCTGACTCTTAAAAATTGCTTCTGATCCGCTTGACTAAACTCTTCATATCAGTTTTCATGGCCATTTCAACAAGTACCATATAATTTTTTCCCAAAAGTTTTCGTCTGATGCCAGAGTCCTTGACCAAAGCTCATATATAGCAAGATAGACAATTTTCTGGGCTTCAAAATGAGCTATGAATAAGCTTTCCAAAAATATGCCTATGTAGGACAATTGTCGAAATACTCGAGAGATATAATGATTTTCACCTGTCTTAGTGCTTTAAGAGCCATTGCACGTAAACCACGATCTATTACAGTGGAGTAGCCTTCAATCGATGTTCTCAGAACTTTTCAATGGCTGGTTTTCTAGGAGATCGCTAGGAAACCGTTCTGTAACTCTAAACGATAAAGTAGAAATAGATTGGTTTTCTTATGAGTAAGTAGCCTAAAGTGTCCTCTTCAAAATGGGAGCCAAGCAAGACTTGGATTTTGAGTTATTTGGGCGTGGTACCTGAATTCCACGGAGCACCCAGGACTGACACTCAGTGACTTCCAGTAACCTCGAAGAGGAAGACTAACATAAAGCAAAATGAAATACACACTGCCATCAGATTTATCATGGTCGACTGTGTGCTTTTCTTTTTTTTTCGAGGTTACCGGAAGCCACTGTGTACCAGTCCCGGTGCTTCATGGAAATCAGACATCACGTTCAAATCACTCAATCTAAGTCTGGTTTCCACGACTGTTTTTTATTGAAATTTTAATATTCTACAGGAGAAATATATTGATTGAAGCAAGCCTCTAGAACTCGGTGCCCTAACTGCGCCCCCGAAGCTGTTTTAGCGAAACCCACAAATCGCAGGATGCACTATGATAGTACATCTGGTGTACTTCAGCAGTCTACTAGGGGGTTTTAGAACTGCCCCGTTTTCATGGAGAAAATCATTTCTCATAATCGCCCAAAATGGTCATTTTTGGGCAAAATTGCAACTTTCAAGGCGTCTGTATTGAAAACGATGACCGAAAACGAAAACCGTCAAACTTTTATCAAATATACTTTGACATATAATCTATTTGCAAATATGGTTAACGGTTTAACGGAAAAAGGCTGAATTTATTGATGATTTTTTGTGTGTAAATATAGTTTCACTTTCCTTATTTTTCTAAACTAGAAACAATAATTAGACTCCATAATATTACAAATTCTACTGATGGATTGAATGTTGTACTGGAGCTATAGACTGACGTTAAAAAGAAAAATATTAAACGACTAATATTAAAAATCAATTAAATATTTCCATATTATTTAAATATTAGTCCTTCAATATTTTTCTTTATTTAAATATTTTTCCTTTATTTTAAAATAATTAAATATTTTTCTATCTGACCAAAAATTGCTTTAATATTGACGTCATCGCTGGCTTTAATATTTGTTTTTTTCTGAAAAATAATTAAATATTTTTCTATCTTATAATAAGAAAATTATTTATTAGTTCAGACAGAAATATATTTAATTGATTTTTAATATTAGTCATTTAATATTTTTCTTTTTTTAACATTTTTCGACATACCCATTGTACCAAATGGGTATTATGGTTTTCATTGGAGGAATACATTATATTTGCATGAAGTACAAGTAAGAAGATTTGCTGCACTAGGTTATACATATTATACTCATGCTTATTAAATAAATGACACGGACATATGTAACTTAAAATCCAGACGGTTATCCAATTGAAATGAGCAAACAAAATGAAACATTTAATACTGAATCAGTATAAGCATTATATTTTACTTACTCTGTGGTTATAGTTAATCAATGGTGAATTTTATTAACAGTAAATTATAAGCTAAAGACACATATTAAATATCCGATTATGATTACTCCAATATGTAAAAAGCGATGTATGATTGTATCTGTGTGCAGTTAAGCATGAACTGATATACGTACATACTTTAATATCTATACTGTGATTATTTTATCATTTCGATTAATACTACTGTACATATTTCTAAAAGCTAAGAGTGTCAACCTAAACTACTCTAAAAGTGAGTTAATTTCTTACAGTGTCAAGACGACGGTGTATCAATAGAATCATCTTACTCTGCAATATCCTCTGAAGCATTCATACCTAACATTGCAAAACTTATATATCAAATCTAATTAATTGCTGTTAGTTAAAACTGCTTGTCTAAAAAATTATATCGACGTTCTGAGAAAGTTACACTTTTGTCATTTTTTATTTTAGCAGCTGACACTGCGTTAGTCTAAAAAAACGATCTTTTTCCCACAAGCCCTAGGACTTTTACAAACATCTCTTTGAGATATTTAGATATTGACACTTCTGATAAACTCTCATGTACAATACAATTGCAGAGTTTCTGACAGGATAGTATGCCGTGTAGATATAGGTCACTATTTAGAGATGTGTATAATAATATTAATCGAAACAATAGAATAGTCAAAGAATAGGTATTAAAGCATGTACATACATCAGTTCATGCTTAACTGCACACCGATGCAATCATACATCGCTTTTTACATATCGAAGTAATCATAATCGGTTATATAAACACGTGTATTTAATATACGATTTATTGATTTATAAAATTCCCAAGCAGTTAATTATAACCATAGAGTAAGTAAATGTGTCTGATAAGTTAAGAGTACCCCTCCTCTCATTTTGGACTTTCCGTAGAAATGCTGTAAAGTCAAAACTAAAACTAACTATGGCTTCATATTTTTCGAACCGGTTGGAAATTCAATGGAGAATTGTTTCGTTTTTCCTTCAAGTTTTTAACTATTGTCGTTCACGAATTTATAGAAAACTCGCTTTTTCATTGGACCACATTACGATCTCCCTTAAATTTCATCCGATCGAGTTCAAAATTTTACCAGAAGTACCCACGGTCATTTCACCGAAGTAAATTTCTGAAAATTTTTTAAGATCTTTCCTGGTCGACCTATAGGAACAATACTGAAAAACGTCTCAAAAACGAAGTTGTTCAGTTTTAGAAACCCTATAACTCGGTAAAGAAAAATTTAAAATAAAGTTCAAAAAAATTTAACTCTGCAAAAGTGTCTTGGGTACCTCTGGTAAAATTTTTAACTCGATCGGATGAAACTGAAGGAGGATGGTAATTTGGTTTAATGAAGCCAGGTAGCAAACAAATAGTTTTCGAGAAAAAAAAAACGCATTTTGTTACACAGATCACTTTTTTCAGGTCATTTGCCGCGATGCTTATATCTCCGCCAAAAGTCATCGGAAAATTTTGAAAAACGTCTCATTGTGAAGAAAATAGTTTCTTCTACCAGACTATGTGTAAGAAAAATTTTGAATGTACAGAAAAGGGAGAAAAGTTTATGAAACTAAAAAATTGAGTCTTTTTATACTCCGAAGGAAAAACTTCAGAAATGCATAACTTTTTGACGAAAGGTCCTGGAGCGCCGGGAGTGGTCTCATTTTGTCGTACACACTTTCATTTACATTAGGCTATGCTCAGCTCAAAATCCGAAATTTTTTCAAAAAAGAGGGAGGTCCTTAACCTGTTGTAGTTTACATATCGGGTAGAGTAGTTTTTGATATCGATAGTATCCTTACAAATTCGTTTGGTAGTTATGGATTCTTTAGCATGATTTACATATATCTGCGTCTTTTCGATCAAAACAAAATGGTACGTGTATGGTAACGTAGCGCAATATAATGTGAAGTAACTTTCTTTACAGAATTCTTTTTTCGAGTGAATGCGCGTTTTTACGGCTATCTAATAGTGTCGTTGTGCTCACTATCATCGAATTTTGCTTTCTCAATGTTTAAAACATGCAAACATAACCAGTTTAAAGATCAGATGCCTAACTTTCGTAATCACTATGCCAACATAGTTAAACTTCACCAAAGTGCCTTAATAGGTCATTTTTGCTTTGATTAGGACACCTAAAAGCTGTTTCGGAATCACAGTATTGTTGCACGAATGGGAAGTGAGATGTTTCTGTTAGGTTTCACATGCTGAATCCGATGGTACAGTTCGATATTCCAAATGCTGAAATATATCTTATCCGCTCCTTTCTTTGTCGCGTATGTGATAGGGACTTTTTAGGGCAAATATAACTCAATCAAGGGCATAGTCAAACTTATTAAAAAATATGTGTTTTTCGAATGTTTTGATACCAAAAATCCCGAGAGACTCAAGCCTACTAAGCTTTCTGACTCCGCTGAAGCATTTGTTTGTTGATAGCTTGTCTGAAACTAAATTTGTCAATGGAATTTTACGATACTTGGCTAACATGAGCATAAAGGTAATGCAGATGTACAGTAATCAGCCTAAAGTCTAACATTTGACAAATGATGACTATTTTTGACAGTTTTTTAAAATAAATCACATCTAGTTGATCGTTGTCTAGTCAGACCCTTTGAGAATATTATTTTGATTTGATGTTTGATGCTTCATATATAGCTTTAATTTCAGTTAGATATTTTTCATTACAATGGCACAAAAATCGTCGAGATCATTCTTAAAACAACAAACAGAAAATCAAAGAAAATATATTCAATATGATAATGATCATGAACAAGCAAAACTATTTGCTCGTACATATGAAAAAAGTAAACGACGTTCATTCGGATCAGCATCATCGAGAGTCAGTGTCCATTCTCGAGACAGTATTCTTAAATGTGATGATTATCAAGCACCATTAAGTTCTAAATCATTAAAAAAAAATTCTAACTGGCTTATAGTTCGACGAAATTTGCATCGTATAAGATATTTGGGTGGAAAAAACGACAATTCGGAAACATTACCTGACTTTTATTTAAGTTTTCAAATGATACGTGAATTAACACGTGCACAAGATGAAATAAAAAATATTGATCGTAATGAACATTTTCAAATAATAAAACTATTTAGTTTAGCCGTTGACAACTATAAAATAAAAATATATAATACAGCACATATAACGCCGAATGATGCTCTATTTTATGATCGTTTAGGTGATGAACCATTGGCAATACAAAATTTATTATTTTATTTTAGTCAACAAGACGTTCAATATAAAACTGTATTTTGGGAATTTTTAAATGAAGTTACTCGTGTTTTGGATTTAAATCGTAAACGTGTAAAACGTGTTCATACATTACGCAAAATAGCAGCAACATTAGCAATTATATTATTCTCAATAATTGGTTTTATGTTTTTATTATTAATAGTTAGTCTTTTATATACAACATCAAAATTTGATGATCCTCAAGTTACGTTGAAGAAGGGATAATATTTTTAGTTACAATATTGAGTGCAAAATTAAGAAAGTACTGAAAATAAGATGTTAATAATAGCGTGTGATCGTCTGATTTGTATAAAAAAGTTTGAAATATAATGTAGCTCTGTAAATTAAGTTTTATATGAGTTCTTTTCAAGGTTTTCTATCAAGAATGTACTTTCTAAGTGTCAAATTTTACCTTAATGAGACCTACGTGATACAGTGATAAAATTAGAATAAATTTATAATAAATAATAGAAATTGATAATTCATGTAATTCGGCAGTCATGTGTGAAACTATGATGTCAGATGATTTATTGGAATTTTCAACGTTTTCGTCTTTCACATAGGTTCTATAAAAATGGATATGATTTTTATTTTGCACAGCAACAAGATCTGTGTTCTAATACCAAGGAATGGAGACCCTTTTATGCCATTTTTACTGGCAGTTACATCATCAGTATCACCACGCGGCACGTGCACTAATGATTCATCGTTGTTGCATCATCTTAGGCCACACTGAATTTATCTCAGTTCCACTTCTGATTTTCGAATTCAACTTATTAAAAATGTATGACCAAACTAAAGAGTCCGAATTTCAAAAATCGTTACCTGCTATCACACAATTATCGACCCCAACACCATCACCTCAACAAAAAACGGAAGCTCATAAAAAATCTGTAACTTTCCCAGCTGCGCTTTGGGAATTTTTTGTCGGAAAAACAAAATTTCAAGTCATGACTTGTGACTTGGCTTGACTGCACAGCTTATCGAAAGTCAGACAGTTTAACAGTATGACTAGGATGTGTTTATGTACAGTAGAAGTACAGGGGGCCGAAATTGCTGTATACTTTCTCTGACTCTGTGTTAATATTGACTTCTCACTTTCAGATAGAGATTATGGCGTGATGGAAGCATCGTCTGGTTGACGAAAACACTGAAAGTTGATTTCACCATGTTCTTGATGAAACGCCCAAGTAAAACATGATGGAATCAAGCATAACGAGCTAAAAGCCTTCTACAAAGCTAGAGATCGATTAGACAGACGTTTCTTCAGGTATGCGCTTGCGAAAAAGACGCCAATAGGAGGGCAAGTAACTGTCTAAAAACAGCTTAAAAACGGTCTATTTTGCTGCAAACTGTTTTACGGCCGGAAGTTGGTAGTTCGAACTACCTGAAAACTGTCTGTTTATATTCATTAAACAGGCTGTTTCTAGAGCTTCCAAAAATATCAGATAACAGGCAGTTAACTTGGTGGTTTCACATTTGTAATAAAAACGTCTTATCAAGAATAGTCAATCAAAGGAAAGACGTGTTTTCCTCTGACTGATATGTTAGTTAAATGCTCACACAATGATCGGCATAATCTCTAACAGTTTTATCCTTGAAGATCAGGCCATTCTGGAAAGAGATAAGAAACCTTATGGAAAGTTTTGAGAACATTCTCATTTCTCAGCTCTGAAACTACGATCTTCAACTGTAAGAGAGGGCAGGCTTCTGCGTTTCAAGTTCTTTTAAAAGAATAAAGATTCCTACACTCTCCTTTAGCTAGTGAGTAAAAAGCGATATATAGTTAAGCTAGCAGGAAGAAGTTATAAAAACACCAATAAACCAAAAAATACCTCATGTGTATCAGAACAGTGCTTTAAAAAATATTCATTTAGATGCTTGTTAAATGCTTGGTAGTCGTAGGGTATACAACACTTCGAGCCATTTTGCGGTTAACGCCTTCGAATGTTCAGATATTCGATTTCGGTGGCACTTGTTATATCTTTCAGCAATATTAGTCACCTTATTTTGGTCTTGATCCAAAGGATGACATGAATTATTTCTTAGCAGATCGCTACCACCGTTAATCAAGTACTCAAAAATCAAATAGAGAGATGCCTACAGGATGTGGTTGATTGGAAAAATGCATGCAAAATAACTAAAGTGATTATTGTTTTAACACTTTCTATTAAGGTAAACGCAGTTTATTTTAGTATCTTGACTCGTTAGAAAAGTTTAGAAACTTCAACATAAATTAATTTTCCAGAACTAATCTATGAGTGGTCATTTCTTTTATTGTACAGAAAATTAAGCACGCTTTGTATCTCATGAATCGGTATATACTTGGCAGCATCAAACTTTAAGCTCCGATTTTCATAGGACCATCGGTTTAACGAACTTTGTTCAACGGTATTAGAATTGGCTCTTCTGTTTTTGATGTCTTTGAAGTCAGCTCGATGTTGACTGCGTATAGTGTAAACGTATCAGAATCAAACAATGCTTTATGAATGCCACCGTATTGATCCATTTCTTTCAAGGTTATTTCTGTTTGACCTAATATTTTGGCTTCTTTTTGTAAGCTTTTAATCTGTTTTCTATCCCAACTCACCGGTGTTTGTATCAATGATAAGCAGTCTCCAATAGCAAGACATAACCTGAATTTTGAATCTAGATAAACCAGCGTGAAGTACCGTGAATCTTCTTCACAATCATCAACATAAACGAAACCAATCACTTCACCAATGTGAGACCACTGTTTTAATAGAGCTTCACGAGTGGGTAGCCTAAGTGGGCTGTTTACTTGTTCAACAATGAGGTTACTTTGTTTGCCTTCAGTATCTTGTACTGTGAGTCGAATTTTAAGCGGTTGAGGAAGCTTCCGATGAGCTCGAGCACGGCGTTGATTGTCGATGCCTGTATTGCCCTCTACTCGAATATCAATACGAACAGCATACGTAACGACTCTCGAGCTATCCAGATTGATTACGGTGTCGGGTAGCCACGTATAGTTACCATTTGCAGTGGGTGGGCCTACGAGAACTTGTTCAACTTCTTGCCACACGCCATCTCGATCTTGATATTCACCTGTTAAATAGATGACCGTTGCTGGTTCTTTACTGGTATTTTGAAACATTATTTTTGGTATGAAAAAGTAATTTATGAATGCACCATTACTAGTGAAACAATCTTGATTGCATTCAACTTTATTGTTGGGGCCATTCAACAGTCGAATAGCAGAATCACCTTCGCAAACATACTTTTTAACTGCTATCTCGGATGGTTGCAAGATTTCTGGTCCTTGACGCTTTGGTGGTGGAATTTTTGCGCTAAAATCAATGTTCGCCATCGCATCGATGATATCATCACCGCTTTCTTGCTCACGGGTTTGATTTTCACATTCTTCCAGCTTGATATTCGATGAGTCTACAGGAAAAAATGAAGTTGATAGATAATTTTAAAAAACCTATGGACAAATTTATTCACCTTGAATGAGTGCCAGTTTTTCATCACCGACAATTTGTTTGATTTTTGCAATCAAATCAGAGCATTTTGATTCTAGATCTGCTTCTGTTAAATCTCCAAAACGAAGATAAAGAAGATCGCTAACGCACAAACCGAGCCATTGGGTTGGTTTCCAGTTTGGTACCATGATACATGGTAATATAGGTATCCGCAATTGTTCAGCGTACGTCAACTCTTTCTTACAGTTAACTGACTCTTGATAACCTGGCGATAAGAAACACACAATGCACAATGCATTTTCAACTCCTTCCGCCATACTAGAAATAATGATTCATTGAATATGCCCTAGAATACCAGTTTACTCCTGTACCTGTCACTCAAACATTTTTTCATGCCACCTTGAGTATCCATCCATACGCGAATGCCTTTCTGTCTGAGATGCTGATAAATTGAAGAAA